CACAACCAAATAAATCGGACCAATAAATGAAATAAATCGGACCAACTGTGAAATGCAAGGATGTGCAGACTGAGCCAGTTCTTCTTCCAGTTGATGGTCTACAGTTACCAAAGGGAACAGTCCAAGGAGACCAAGCCAGGCTGGACATTTCTGCAAGATCGATTTGGAATGCTTCAGAGAGGGCATTTTTTGATGTAAGGGTATTTCATGCCCCAGCCCCCTCCAATGCAAGCAAACCGATACCAGCAATGTACCTGTCCCATGAAAATGAGAAAAAGCGATGTTACAATGCAAGAGTTCTTGAAGTGGAGAAAGGAAGCTTCACACCTTTAGTGTTCTCGACTTCTGGTGGAATGGGTGGTGAAGCTGAGAGACTGGTCAAGAAGCTGGCCAGTAAGATGGAGTACCACACTGGCCAGAGGTACTCAGACGCTGTAGGATACATAAGAAAGCGCCTTCGCTTTGAAATCCTCAGAACAACAGTGATTTCTCTCCGTGGAGACAGAGGGGCGAGAAAAAACATTGTTGATATAAACAGTCTAGATCTTAACTTGGAGCCACAAGGCCAAGGGTAAAAAATTTTTGATTGTTAAGGGAATTTTTTGAATTCTTAAAGGGTTGATTTTATATAGGGTCATTGCTATATTATGTGTATATTGTTTGAATATTTAATTTAAAAATCGGACCAATAATCCACAAAGCCTTCCTGGATCTTGAAAATCTCAATGAGATCCCCACGGACCCTACGTTCAAGCAAGGTTGTGAGCTTCAAGTTATCCATTCTCTCTGATCTCTGTAGGTCATGAGGCCCAATCCATCGATCATACAGGTAGATAATAGATTAAAAAGTAAACATGATCTCTCTGCTCGACTTATAGATCACATGAGGGAACCCCGGAACCGTTCCTAAACGTGAGAAAACTACACATAACAATAAACATGGCCATTTGAGACATCTCTGGTGGTTCTTAGTTGTGCCAAAAAATGGGTGGAAGGACACCCAACCCATGTAGCTGAGACACCTCACAGCAAATAGATCAGAGTGGTTCTTGTTTGTGAAAGGTGCATATTAGTTATGCATAGTCGGTACGTGTTCTTGTTGTATTAAAACTTGTTTCATGATGAACTGTTTTGGTTCCTAACAGTCAAAGCTAATTTAACTATATAGTGGGACAAAGTACTTTCTTTTCATATAAATCATTCACTTCAAGCTTCAAGTTTGCATACTTCATGGTCAGATCTTTTCATGACCCAATTAATAAATTTAAAACCATTGAAGTGAAATTGAGAAATATACAACTGCACTGCTTTAAATTAAATATTCAATATTCAAACTGCACTTAACAAATAACATGTAGCAAGTAAGTGCCTAGTGTATATTGAAAACGGCGCGCATTTTTTATAAATTTAAATATCGACCAAGTACAATCCCGATTAATTACAATATTGACCAAGTACAAAGTACTTATCCATGTGTAAACGCTTACTGCGTGACGCGCTTGTTTCACTTGACCATTGTTAATGATCCGGCCCGGCGCGCGCTACTTCGTAGCACTTGCCATCGTGAGAAGAAAGCGGCGCGCGCTAGTTCGAAAAATTTAGACGAGTAACATCCGCCAATAGTTTCACAAGTAGAATTTTGCCGCCTTCGGCGGTCGCAAGCTATTGCAAGCGAAAGAACTCTGGTTAGAGCAAACAAATTTTAGTGATCTCTTTATCAATCTTCCTTAGGTTTAGTTTAGATTTAATTACTTGGTGTTTGCTCTAACCAGAGACCTCTCGCTTGCAGTAGCGCGCGACGCGACCGCCGAAGGCGGCAAAGGAAATAAAATTAGGACTAGAAGAAAAATTGTTAGCAGACATTAGGGGTTCTTTTAAAAGTAGCTATTATAAATCGCAGTCTTGTTGTGACAAAAAGTATACACTAAAATATGCTTAAGTTTATATTGTGTAGTTCAAGGATATAAACAGCAGTAGCCATACCATTATTTTATTGACGATGTCAACCCTTCGAGATCTTTGCTCTGCAAAGCAAAGAAAATTCTGCGAAGGTGCAAAATTGTTGTTGGTGCAAAGGTGCAGTTGCTTCGATGCGAAGCAAAAATAATAGTTTGCGTGGTGTATTGGTGTAACATGTGGTTTAATTGACGATGTCAATTCATCTCAGCTTGGCGCGGCACAGTGGCGCATCTCGCCGATCTAGAGAGAAGCCTCATTGAGTGCGCGGCGCGGCACAGTCACGCATCGCGCTACAAAATGTGGTAAGCTAAAGAATTTCTGGCAATTAAAAAAAATTTTAACAAGGATTGATTAAATTGTGATTTTCATCAATTCAAACAGAATGGTATAACATTTTCCGCTGATGTGTTGCAACAAAGTTTAACTTTTTTCAAGTAGACAACAAAGTAGGCAGCAATGCTTGGCTGTAGTGGGCATAATCATAATCAATATAGTCAATCTAGTGCAGGATGGTTAACATTATCTTGTACTAGTTATGGCCTGGTTCATGGTTATTCAGCTTCATCTGGCTAGCAGCCACATCTAACCTCATCATTGATACGGTTATGGTTGTTTACAATTTAAAAGCTAATTTTAACCTTTTTTTCAAAAAAGTATAAGATGGTTTAGAAGTGGTAAGAATTGAGGATGGGTATAATAGTTAGGTAGGTTTTTTGTATGGTGTCATGTGTTACAAAGGAAAACATGTGCTCGCTTCATAAATTCAAACATTGTGTAAAATATCACCTATCACCTATGTTACTTTACATATACTGCTTCTAGTAACACGCTAGCGATCTCAGTCCCCAATAAACGTGTGACCCAACAGAAGGGATTGTGGAAGGACACGTACATTTTTCATTAACACGTGCCCTGATTACCCCCTCCGTTGATAAAACAAAAGTTTAATAAAACAAAAGTTAAATTTATCAATAAATGTTTTTGCCATGAAACGGACCAAACTGATCCTAACTCATATTCCACTCATCATAGCATATCGCTTCAGCATGTACAAAGGGCATAACCTCAATCAGTTTAATGTAGTGAAATGACTGGTGTGAATGAAGTAGTGTACTAATACAAGTTGGAGAGGATCAGGTAAGCTTAGTCAGCATCCATGATGTTACAAACCCTCTGGGACATTACTGCGCCCAGTCTCCAAAGTTACAGTAAATTCCTACTACGGACAAACAAACACAGACAAAACACCAACAAGAAACTGATATACACTAGCTAGCTCAGAGAGGAAATGAGTACCGGCTCAGGAGGTATGTCAAAACAGGGCGCCCTTTCGAACACTACTCGGGCTAGAATCAGTGCAATTCGGACACTACTATGCAACTGAACCATGAAAACTATATAAGTACACCTATGCTGGCAAGGCAATAGGTCAGACTGCCAGTCCTGAAAACCAGTTCTATGATAAGGGTCACGCAAGCCCCGAAGGGTTAATACAAAAGTTAAATTTATTACCAATTATTCAATCAATACATATCATAAATTCTAATATTGGAATCACAATGCAGAATGGATGTCTTAAACTATAATTTTGTTGTCACTAATAATCTATTTACTTTCAAAGTTGAAATTTAGTTAAGTATGAAATGCCACCACATCATAGTTAGGGTAAAATATTATTCTTAAAAATTTTAAAATTAAGAAGATTGCTCTATGACTTAAAATTTAAAATTTAGCAAAAGATATCTAATTTTTAAATAGTTGGTTACAGTTTATGGCAGTACTGGCATGACAAATTTTATTGTGGCTGGTAAAAGGACCCAGTTGCCTGTAAGGGCTTTACCGAACCCCTGGGGACCACAATGTGATAGGATCAGGCCAGATGTTTCTATGTAGAGCAATTTATTTATTTCGGAGCTATGGTTACGTGGTATAGCTGGTGGTCATGTTTAAAGGTCAGTTTATCCTTGTGTGCTAATTATCCATCCAGATGCTTAGTGAGCTACGGGGAACGTTGATCGCTAGTCTGTAGTCAGATCCTTAATAAATTTTGATTTAAAATTGATTGTCAATTTTACAAAACTCATTCCACAGCCACACTGATTTATAGATAAATTGTTTAGTTGGAGAAGGTGTGATTAACATATTGTCTTTCCTATGCGATATATGGTGAACAAAGAGTACAGTGAAATTGGTACTCTTGTCTTAATTATCTTTAAAAATTCCATTAGGCAACGTAGTCTATACAGGTTCTCTACAGCTAGTAATTCATGTTTTGCAAATAGAGGTTTGGTAGACTCCTTAACATAAAAATCGTAATCCTAACGTTGGGAGCCAAATGGTCTAACTCTAGCACATGTTTTTCATTTGTCTACATACCTTTTATGGTCTCCGAATAGAATTCTTATACATTTCTTTTGGGTAATAAATAGTGGTTTTAACTGGATGTTAGGAATACCTCCCCAGACAGAAATAGCAAACCCGAGATGTGATTCAAAGAGAGAATGGTAAATTTGTTTATATAGTGATTCTGGCAAGCATTTCTTAATACGGTAGATACGTCCACAAGCACTGCTTAGTTTTTTTGTTGAGAGATAGTATGTGTGGTTTCCAACTTAATTTGTCATCAATAATTACTCCAAAATATAAATTCATTTGATCATAATAACAATGAATTTAGTATTTCATTATTGTTACAGTACGCAAAACAATCTCGAATTTAACAGTTGCCAAGTCAACGCACGGTTTGTGACAAGTCAGCCAGATAGGTCTGTTTATTGAAACGTATCTAATCAGCTGGTAAGAATAACGCAAATAATCAGTAGAAGGACTGTGAATTAATGGCAATGCATATTTTCGAACGAATTTTGCTAAGCATTCACATTGTGATTGAGTAATACTTGGAATAAGCTGTGATGTAGAATAATCGGATATCTTGATCTTTAAAAGGCAGTTGATGGAAATCTAGCGTCTGCCTATATGGCCTATTAGGAGCACAATTTGTGTTGGTGTTTCAAATAAAATCTAACAAAGACATTAGACTAGGAATCTAGGTGATTGGTTTTTCAATACAATATGGACTACAGCCACTATGTTTGTGATTTAGGAAAGATGTCAGAAAAACCAACAACCAACGACATGTACGGAGAGCAAAGCGATGAAGAGGATGTTAAAGTAGCAGCCCAGGAACCAATCAAGCCTGCCCCTCTCCCCAAAGCCAAGCTTCCTGATGTTTGTGCTCTCAGCATAAGATTTTTGAAAATCTGCTTTAATTGAACTGTTTGTTGATCTATATTAAACTTTTAGTACGACAGGTAGAATAACACTAAATTTTAGTGTTATTCTACCTGTCGTACTAAAAGTTTTCAAATTAAAATATTCATACTTTAATCACATAAATTTTCAGTTACCTATTATAGAGAAGAACAACTGGCTAATACATATGTTATTTATCAATAAAGAGTTTGAGAAATGTAAACAGGTAACAACCAAATTTATGTAAATAGTCAAGTAAAGTATCAGACAGGGAAATGTATATTGTATAGCTTACAAATGGAGACCAGTGGAAATACTGATTATAAATTTGGAATGTTTTAAATGTCATTTTAATTCACCTGTAAATTAAATTGCGGCTCTTTGCATGATTTCACACCAGGTTATCAAGGAACAGATTGAGATGACAGAGCGAACCTGCGAGTATGCACTGTACGTTCAGGGTATGATACAGAGAAACGAAGCCATGATACAGGAAAGTTTGGAGAGTTTCCAAGCAGCTGCCATGCTCAATCCTAACAGCTTGGAAAATTTAAAACAGGTCCAGCGAGTTAAATACCTGATCTCATCAATATAATTATTAGTCACTCAAATTTAGTGATAACTAAACTCTGGATTCAACTAACAATATTACGTTTTTTGAGAAAATAGTCGGAAAATTGGTCTAAAAATCTTAACGACTGTTAATGATGACAGGTGGGAAGATCTCTGTACCTACTAGGAAGACACAAAGCTGCCCTGGATATATACGCTGAGGCAGCAAAACTCTCACCTCAGGACCCAGAGTTGCTCCATAACCAGGGCGTCTGTCTGGTTTACCTCAATGACTACACAAAGGCTGAAGAGTTAGTTGATAGATGTACCTTTACCTTTCATGCATATCATCTAGTCTGTCAATATGTAATAACTATGTACTGTTGTCTGTTGATTGTTAAACTAGTGATTTATCTACAAATTTGATATGAATATGCATTAGAGAGAAGTTGAATTTGTTTTATAACATAATTGTTTTTAGCTCAGTTTCATAACTTCCATCACATTCTTTACTTTTCTAGGTGTTTCAAGAAAGCTCTAGGTGTACAGAAAACAGAGCACTCTTATTCTCAACTAGGAAAAATGCACATCTTACGAGGTAACTCTTTTAACTTTTTAACAGACCTTCCCAAATTTTACCTATTTAGTCTGAAACACTACTTTGAGTAATGAAACAGATTGTTTTTATTTAAGTGCTTTTATGGGCAATTTTTAGCCACCATATTTGATGGCAGAAGGGTCAAATTAATGAATCACAAGAAATGAACATATTTAATCACACAAAATAGAACTGTAACAATTATTGATGAAAGAGGATATTCTTCATGATTATAGCATATAACGAAAAATTATGAAGACTTTAAGTATCAATCTTATACTCAAAATTCTCACTACTTATTATCTTTAATAAGAAGAGGTATAGATGACATATTATACGAGATCATATATAATAAGAGAATATATTAAGAGGTAATAATTAAATTATGTTATTAGGGCAGTATCGAGATAGCCCGACCACTGTCCGCGGACAACTGTCCGCGGACAATTGTCCACGAACGCTAGATTCACAATAACAATCAAAATTCATAAATCAAGTTAAGTACACTTAATCCATTGGTAAAGAAAACAACGTATTAAATTCAATCTGATGCTACATATCACCATATCTAGTGTTCTGCCATCTCGAAGTCAAACCCTAGTGCACCCCTTGTTTTTCTCCACATGTTTTTTAGGTACAATCTCATCTCAGATTTCCTTGCAAAATATACCACTGGGTTGCATGCGGAGTTGAGGGGTAGAAGGATACTGTGAAACACAACTGATAACAGGTTATCACTCAGGTGTGTGTGGATTGCGTATTTTATTCTATCAGCAATGAACCCAACGTTACAGAGGCAGTAGATCACTGAGAGGATACCCACTGTGATTGTGGCATGACGCGTTTTGGCCATTGTTTGTAGGTTTGATTTGTACAGCTTCAATATGCATAAAACGTTAGAAAAAATAACAATGACGAACAAGCTGGTCATCATGCTTGCTATAGTCCAGAGAACAATCACATGTGACGTGTTACTCAGATCTTTGCTCGAAATATAGATCATCTGAAATATTGCGAGACATACATTAGAAAAACTGTACAGAACAATTGCGATATTTGTTGCCCTCCGTCGTTTTTCTACTACACTTAGAGGCCATATTAAATCTACCATCCTTGTTACCGCAATTAAGCATGTAAAAGAACTGGTAAGATTCGCCAGTACGACTTGGTAAATTATACAAAAAAATTTAAATGTCACGGGCATTTCCAGGTTCAAAACCTGTACCCATATTATTATCATGATTGCGGAATACACGCAGAGCAGGAGATCGAAAATGTTGAGCATCATAAAAAGTCTAGCAGTTGAATTATCTCTGGTGGGCAGTCTGGTGATGAAGTAAGTAAGTGACAAAATATTGCTGATCACACCCATCGCGGCTATCAGCCCACTCAATATCGCTAATATATACAACCAGCTGTCCTCAGCAGCGGGCACGGTTTCTTCAAACTCAGACATGTTCCCAGGTGAGTCACACTAAAGATAATATGATGCTTTGTTAGATAGATGTGTAGATTCCAAGGAGTTGGGTTAGTGGCAGGAGCTCTTGCAGTCTTGTGCAGGGACTTGAACCAGGGACTTGAACCAGGGACTTGAACCAGAGACTTGTACCAGGGACTTGAACCAGAGACTTGAACCAGAGACTTGAACCAGAGACTTGAACCAGGGACTTGAACCAGGGACTTGTACAAGAGACTTGAACCAGGGACTTGAACCAGGGACTTGAACCAGGGACTTGAACCAGGGACTTGAACCAAGGACTTGAACCAGGGACTTGAACCAGGGACTTGAACCAGGGACTTGAACCAGGGACTTGAACCAGGGACTTGAACCAGGGACTTGAACCAGGGACTTGAACCAGGGACTTGAACCAGGGACTTGAACCAGGGACTAGAACCAGGGACTAGAACCAGGGACTTGAACCAGGGACTTGAACCAGGGACTTGAACCAGGGACTTGAACCAGGGACTTGAACCAGGGACTTGAACCAGGGACTTGAACCAGGGACTTGAACCAGGGACTTGAACCAGGGACTTGAACCAGGGACTTGAACCAGGGACTTGAACCAGGGACTTGAACCAGGGACTTGAACCAGGGACTTGAACCTATTGAGATAATTAGATATTATGCTGTTAGTGAAAACTTGCAGGAATCATCCAATGTTAAGAAATTCAAATTGACAACAGGTAAAAGGTTAATTTAAAATAACGTTACACTTATCGACCGTGTGTACAAGTACCTCGGGCCTCAATTTGACATTTTCAGTTTGATTATTTATTATTTAACTTTATTATTCGTTTATTACTCCTGACAGATAAGCAGACAAACAGACAAATTGAGAATGAGCAAACGGTAACTAAGGGAGTGAGGGACGGGCAGTGTATCTAACTATCTAAGTGTGATTCTTAATAAAACATGACACCCACATGCACAGCCAGGAAGTCAATAGGATTTTACTTTTACTTATCAATGAGGGATTGATTAGGGACTGCATTATAAATTGAATTGCAATTTTGGGCGTCGTACATCCTTTAAGTGGTAAGCTCTTTTGAATATATAATTATAAGGGGTCAGCATCTTGTACACTAAAGTTACTTAGTACACTGTACCTTGCATATTCAGGGTAACGAGGTTTTATGCGATCAAAATTTATTAAAAGGAAAAATGGTGTGCGGCATCATTTATTTGTGTAAGAAATTCCCCTTGACCTATTTGCCGATGGGTAAGTATTTAATTGAATCGAATGATCCTTCTAGAAAGACCAAGCTGTTACTGACTTAATCCATTAAGAAAGAAAGAAGGAGTCCGAATCATAAGGGTCCTTTTCTAAGGGTAATCATACATCCCTAGCCCTACAATCTGAATCCTCAACAATTACCTTAAATTTTACTGGAGCCCAAAAGTTTGCGGTAAAATGCACAGGAGCCAGATGCTCTGTGTCACGAGGACAATGTATCTGAGAGATTGGTGCGCAAACTTGTGGAATGTGGGGCACGACGTTAAGTTGTGGGGCACGACATCCTGGACGACGATTACAAAATAGACTTAAGAAGAAATAGGCTGAAATAAAATAGCTGACTAGGTCCACTGCTAAGGAACTAGTCAGACAGGTGTGTTATTAGCATCCTTTTTGATTACAGTAAACAGGTTGCTAACCACGGACCCACCGGTAGCCAATGGTCATGGATTAACAAATAATTGTGAAATAAGATCCTTTAAATAATGCAATTATTGGCCTCATGGAACAATATCCAATGCAAACTTATACCTAAGCTGTAACTCAGTAAAGCTATCAGATCGTGTCCCTAAAGCAAGGTGGAAGCTCCTAGGTCATATCTTGCGTAGTGCTGATGACTCCCCCGCTGCATTAGCGTTAAAGTTTGCTGTCACAACAAACTGTAAAGGGCGCGTCGGTGCGCATCGTAAGAATTTGTTCAAGATTATTGTAAATGATTTGACCTGTAGAGGTTTAAAACTTAACTCTTTGAATGATCTTAATAAGCTTAAGATATTAGCCGATGATAGAGTTGCTTGGAGAAACAAATTTTAACTGTAGCTGTCTTGATCTGTACTGAATACTGATCACCATTTTAGGATGACTTGATTTCTTTTAGGGGTTTTGAATATTTTAATGGTGTAAACAGTTTCTTAATAATAATAAATAATGCTAAAAGTTGCTTGCAATTGAGTATTTATGGACTGTTGTGTACTTGATTAGAAGTAAAAGTAACTAGAATTTTACATCGTGATACTAAGAAGGATAGCCTAATAAAAATAGCGATACTTATAGGAGGGGGGAGGGAGGGGTGTGTGTCACGCCCCCCTCTAGGGCGGTATTCACCAAGTTGGTTATCTTAAGTACCACCTCAAAGTACCACCATTCTTCAAGCAATGATTAAAAATAGCACCCCTAAGTGGACGTCCTAGGACAGCAACCATAAAGCTAGATGAAGGAACCTCAGAATCACTCTTCTCAACCTCTTGAACTGTGGCCAAATTAGCAAATCAAAGTGTCAAGTAGGTACTTTGGTCATTCGATCACAATTGTAATTCGCTGGAGGACACATGGCATACGGTGTTATTAGCAAAATGGGTACTTAAGGGAAACCTAACTCCTGTATCTATCTCTAGCCAGTGTCACCGCTGACCGACAACCAGGCCTAATTATTTCAGGGCACGGTGTCACGTGATTATGTTCACATTGGTAGTGAACTAGTCACGTGACACCGTACCCTGAAAGTCACGTCGTGACCATCAGAAAATCAGAAAAATCATTTACTCAATTTTTGCTAAAAATAAACTTCTCAAAACAAACAAAAAAACTTTAACCTTAATTCCCTAAGCGTGCAATTTTGTATCACTGAGACAACTTGCACGACTGCACTGCTACAGATAATGTTCAGGTTTCAGTGTCGCGTATCTACTACGTCACAGCATTTCTACTCATATTACAGTGGTGATTTAGTTCTTCGGCGTGGTTTCTAATAAATAAAGAAATTTGTAATATAAAAGGAAGATAAAACTGGTACCATAACATAAGCTAAGACAATATCAGGTGACTTTTATCATCTTTCTGTCGCTCACTTTTATTGTTCTGCTATGATCTAATATTCACTTTACTCAACGTAAAGTTAGTGCCGTCTTTCCTCCTTTACCAGCCTTCTTATCTCCTATCTATAGCTATAGTTACACACATGATCATGGTGTACCAAATTATAATTAAATTGTTAAATAAAGTTCTAAACAAGAGATAGTTAAAAACAACGCTTAAGTCTAATCTGTCCCTTAAACAAATAACTAAATATCAAAATTTCATTGTAGTTACTGAATTATTCCAAATAAAAAGCTTAAATAGTTATAAGATTAAACAGTATGATGTACCAAAATATGAGCACATGTCTCATGTCTATCAGAAACAGAAACCTTTATAAAAACTAGTTTTTAGAGTGATTTTTCTTACACTGTTCTACGTATTATGATCATTATGTTGGGCGGTAAAGTTTAACCTTTTTTTTTCGTATAAAAGGCTTCACGATTCTCTTTGTTTCCAACTTTCGATCTTTAATTTCTAGAGAATGTGCGTCCTGTTTTCTAGAGTCGGTTACAAAGTCAAACGTAAAAACATTTTCATTTAGGTGATAAAAAGTGAGTAGTTCTAATCATGCATCGTATATCTTATTTAATTTGATTTGCAACTTCACGAATATTAAATCTACAACACAGCAATTATGATACTAAGATCAAAAACAGAAAGCCATATTATTGCATCAATAATAAATGTATGACTGAGTGACACAAGTGAAGTAGTGCAAGGAGCAATACATAAAATAGATATTCTCTCAGAGTTACTAACGTCACCCCCTCTATTTGCACTCAAGATTATAAATTGATTCTAAAAACACTCAGTGAACATATTTTCAGAATCATTTAAAATAGCGGTCAATACTCAGTACATGAGTACAAGTGCATTATTCGGATCAAGCAGTCAAAGTCACGTTCCTCTCGTAAAATATCGGCCACTTCAAATTATGACTTAATAACTTCTAAATAACTGAATAACTTCCAAATAACTTAATAACTTCTTAAAGATATATCTACTCAAAGTAGCGACCAAATGATTTGGGTAGAACTTTAAACAAGCTGAGATTTTGTTACTACATCTAAGTTTATTTGGTTACATTTAGCGGGATAACTTGATTGTTTACCTTTAATTCGTACAAGTAAGTTTACAATTAAGTACTATAAATCTGAAACAACGAAAACTAATTGTATCACAACAGAACAACTATCATATAATTTAAGTAATTGTACTGACACGTTAACTACGGTCACTAATAGTAATACTCTCATATTCCGTCAACACCTTGTGTATCTCACTAAAATTATTTGTGGAAAGATATCTCAAGAACTGTACGTTTGGTAGCATCTACAAACATTTATAATTATTCTTCAGCCTTAATCAGCTTGTAGCTTGGTCAGCAGCTATTGTTCAAGCCAATAATCATATTCGGAGAGTTTCTTGTGGAAATTATCGTAGTCCGATAGTTTCACAGCGTCCTAATAATATATATTATGCACTATATACGCTGCACCTGTCAGTGTGATCCTGGAATGCAGTGTTTGGATGCTCAAATAACGATCCTAATTTACCGGGCTACTTGAGAATCACAACATACTTTTAATCATTTCCATATTATATTTAAAGATGTAACACTGTAACTTATCAGAAATAATCTATAATAAATAATAAACTATACCTCTTACAAAGCCTTTTGAAGACGCAACTACAACGCAGGCCTAAATTACTGGTGTGTGATTTCAGTATAATTTTAGTGTGACCTATTTAGTATTTTCGCTCTTGAAAGTGTATTTTAGTTTACCAGCCCACTGCCTCCCCCCAGAGCCCCAGTTACCAGCCCACTGCCTCCCCCCAGTTACCAGCCCACTGCTTCCCCCCAGTTACCAGCCCTCTGCCTCCCCCCGGTTACCAGCCCACTGCCTCCCCCCGGTTACCAGCCCACTGCCTCCCCTAAGTTACCAGCCCACTGCCTCCCCCCAGTTACCAGCCCACTGCCTCCCCCCGGTTACCAGCCCACTGCTTCCCCCCAGTTACCAGCCCTCTGCCTCCCCCCGGTTACCAGCCCACTGCATCCCCCCGGTTACCAGCCCACTGCCTCCCCCCAGTTACCAGCCCACTGCCTCCCCCCAGTTACCAGCCCACTGCTTCCCCCCGGTTACCAGCCCACTGCCTCCCCCGAGTTACCAGCCCACTGCCTCCCCCAGGTGACAAGGACGGAGCTCTAGCAATCTACAAGAAAGCAGTGGAGAACTTTCCAGAAAACTCGGAGCTTTTGTCGGTACTGGGTTTATTGTATCTACAGATGGGTGATACACAGCGGGCCTTCGAACATCTGGGTACTTTTCGTATATTTATTTGATATTTTCAGATTTTTATCACGCAGCTCATGTCTCTCGCCGTACCCGTGCAACTATCTGATTTGCAGTTATATAAAATAATCTACTAGGATAAAATTTGATATCACGACAATATTATAAACACATCAATAACACGTGACTAACAACTTAGCAAGTGACTAACAGCTTAACACGTGACTAACAGCTTAACACGTGACTAACAACTTAACACGTGACTAACAACTTAGCACGTGATTAACACGTGGTTTTCAGGTAACGCTATGACGTATGACCCCCAGAACACTAAAGCAATAATGGGAGCTGGAAGTATAATCCAGGACCACGGAGACTTTGATGTGGCGCTCACCAAGTACCGTGTAGCTGCCTCCGTTACTCCTGAGTCACATGCACTGTGGAACAACATAGGTAGGTAGTCTAGGTACCTCCGTTACTCCTGAGTCACATTCACTGTGGAACAACATAGGTAGGTACTGTCACTAGATTTTGGAGGGCTGTTACTAAAAAACCCTAATTTTCACTGTTACATGATAAAATTTAATAATTCTGGACCACTTTGCATAACAATATAATTTCAAAATTTTTACAGAGAATTTTTGTCGTGTTCTTCATTTCAATATAATGGCAGTTCATGTTTAAATATTACAGGGATGTGTTTTTTCGGGAAGAAGAAGTATGTTGCTGCTATCAGTTGTTTGAAGAGAGCTCATTATTTGTCCCCCTTTGAATGGAGAACTTGCTACAACTTAGGTTCCTCTTATCTTCATTCGTTTGATTACCATTAGTAATTAATATAGTATAATATAGTATTAAGTATCAGCATGATTACAAATTACCAGATATTAACGGGTAAATTAAGTGATAATTCTGTATCCTCTCATGAGAACTGTCCTCCACCTAGCTGAATCAGTCAGCAGTTTTAGTTACACTCTTAAGGGGGCAACTATAAAATCAATTTCGAGAGAATTTTGATGAAAACCCCCCCCCCCCCCGGCCCCCTTAAACAACACTGATTTCCCAGGTTTAGCGCACTTGACAATGCACCAGTACGCCAGTGCGTTCCATTTCATTAGCGCTGCTATCAACCTCAAACCTAAGTTTGCTCCACTTTTCATGCTACTGGGTGAGCGTTAAACAAAAAAGCAACATTTAAATAAAAGTTACATTTTATTTTATGTTAAATTTTATTTTATGTTAAATTATAACTTTAAAGTGTGAAATGTAACTTGTAACTGAAGGGTAGGGTTGGCCAGCAAACCATGGTGAGAATGACACAAGGGTTATTATAGCCCTGACTTTCTAGTACACTAATTGTGGTCTTGTGTCTCCACTGCAGTGGTTAGTGGTTAATGTTGACAGTGTACGACTGTAACTCATTTAGTGACATATGGTTTCTGATTTCTGGATGGTACTTTAGTAACAGGGAGTAGTTGAGTGTGCACTTCGATGTGCACGATTTCTGACAACACAGGGACATTATATGAGTTTGGTTTCTGATTTCTGGGTGGGTAGGTAACTAATCGTGTGACAGTTAATGTTGACAGTGTACAGTGTACTGTGTTTCCAAGTCAACACTAGCTCGCATGTGTGTGTGTGTGTTATAGACAGCAGACTAGAGAAGGAACATGTGATAATATGGGTGTGGTTTGTAAGGGTTGTTGGCCTAGACAGTGGAATATAACCCTACATTAACAGGTGAGATGTTAAACGTTACACAAACTATTTAAACGAACGTACGAGTGACTGAGTCTATATTTTCAGGAGTTGCTCTAACACATTTAGAAGACCCCAGCAATGCAAAGCAAGCTTACGAACAAGCCATAGCTATTGAGACTGACAACTCTATGACGTTAGTGTTTTACAGTTACATAATATTATATATATTGAAGATTTCAACATATTCATACTTTCATACAGTAGTCCTGTTTTGGATCAATATAGTTATTAAATGCTTTATCAAATATGAGTTTTAATTGTTGAACTCCTCAAATCCCCTTAAGAAAGTCCCCAGGTATTTGAACTATACAATAATGTTGTTCCCCAGGTATTTGAACTACGCAATAATGTTGTTCCCCAGGTAGTTGAACTACGCAATAATGTTGTTCCCAAGGTATTTGAACTACGCAATAATGTTGTTCCCCAGGTATTTGAACTACGCAATAATGTTGTTCCCCAGGTAGTTGAACTACGCAATAATGTTGTTCCCCAGGTATTTGAACTACGCAATAATGTTGTTCCCCAGGTAGTTGAACTACGCAATAATGTTGTTCCCCAGGTATTTGAACTACGCAATAATGTTGTTCCCCAGGTAGTTGAACTACGCAATAATGTTGTTCCCCAGGTATTTGAACTACGCAATAATGTTGTTCCCCAGGTATTTGAACTACGCAATAATGTTGTTCCCCAGGTATTTGAACTACGCAATAATGTTGTTCCCCAGGTAGTTGAACTACGCAATAATGTTGTTCCCCAGGTATTTGAACTACGCAATAATGTTGTTCCCCAGGTAGTTGAACTACGCAATAATGTTGCTCCCCAGGTAGTTGAACTACGCAATAATGTTGTTCCCCAGGTAGTTGAACTACGCAATAATGTTGTTCCCCAGGTAGTTGAACTACGCAATAATGTTGTTCCCCAGGTAGTTGAACTACGCAATAATGTTGTTCCCCAGGTAGTTGAACTACGCAATAATGTTGTTCCCCAGGTAGTTGAACTACGCAATAATGTTGTTCCCAAGGTAGTTGAACTACGCAATAATGTTGTTCCCCAGGTAGTTGAACTACGCAATAATGTTGTTCCCCAGGTAGTTGAACTACGCAATAATGTTGTTCCCCAGGTAGTTGAACTACGCAATAATGTTGTTCCCCAGGTATTTGAACTACGCAATAATGTTGTTCCCCAGGTAGTTGAACTACGCAATAATGTTGTTCCCCAGGTAGTTGAACTACGCAATAATGTTGTTCCCCAGGTAGTTGAACTACGCAATAATGTTGTTCCCAAGGTAGTTGAACTACGCAATAATGTTGTTCCCCAGGTATTTGAACTACGCAATAATATTGTTCCCCAGGTGGTTGAACTACGCAATAATGTTGTTCCCAAGGTATTTGAACTACGCAATAATGTTGTTCCCCAGGTATTTGAACTACGCAATAATGTTGTTCCCCAGGTATTTGAACTACGCAATAATGTTGTTCAACAGCGGAGACAAATCCCATGCTGCTGCACAATACGCTAAGTTCGAAATGTATCACCAGAAGAAGGCGCTGAACGATCCTGATGTAAACGCACTTGTTGCAAAACTTGGTCCAATTTTACATATGGGATCTTGAAAATACAGACATTTGGTCAGAATTTTGTAAACTGATTACCGTAACCGTGGTTTTAGGAGTTTGGTAAAGGTCTTTAATATACGTATAATTATATAATATATGTACAATTATAATGTACAATGTATATAGATTGTAAAGTGAAATGATGGTGCGGTCACCACTTGTTCGTGAAGAAGTATATTCTCTCAACTTTTCAGTGAATTGGTGTTACCTAAGCTACGGCCTATGTCACCTATGTTGAGATTCGTTAAGTTGCTTTAACAGGGTTATCACATCGTGTGGGCAATTTAGAATATTTTGGTGACGAATTACGATTAACTTCGGTACTTTTTTCTAGACCAATTATTATTGTTTCTTAGATCTTTAGATGATGGCCATTTCCTCTGCGTATATTTGTTATTTAAAGTTATTATATTGTTGAATATGTTGATGCTTTCAGTTTTTATTCAGAAGATAGTTTTCAACTTTCGGTTCAATTTGTCAGCAGAACAATATCTGGAACAAATTTGGAAAAAAGCTTGTTTGATACGAAGGAAACACCTTTATTCATTTGAACAAACCACATAGATTAAATATTTAATGTGAGGAGGTGTTGTAGCAAAATTGTAAGCGAAATTTTAAGAATGTCCCCCAAATGTCGCCCTAGGTTTATTCTCAAAATTGTAAATGGTGTCCTCCAAATCGGATAAGAAATAGCGAAAAAGTTCGGTGCGTGCGTAAATTCACCTCCATAATTAGTTCGGAGAATACTGTCTGAAGAAGGCCTTGTTTTGTTAACAGAGACTGTCTGGAGAAGGCCTAGTTCACACAGAGACATGTCAAATGGTATTTGGTAAACAAACTTATTAATCGGGAAATTTTTGTTTTGATAAATTAATACGTGCTTCCTGCAAACCTGATATAACAGCTGAAATCAAATGTTGTTATATCTATTTTAGGACCCATAAACAATACAAGGCCTTCTCCGGGTAGTCTTCTACGAACAGTATTATCTATCGATGTGAATTTCCGCTTGCACCTACTTTTTGCGATAATTTGGATTAAATCTGGGGGACATGATTACAATTCTGAGAAGAAAACATTACTGTCTTAATGTAAACTAGGCTTACGATATTATGATTCCTCATATTTGGAAACATTTTGGAAACATTGTTTCCATGGGAATTTCATGGGAATTGGAGGGGAATTGGAAGGGAATTACGTATTATTGACATTCATCCACTTAAATTAGCTGTATATGGTTTCAAAATGTTTTATAGGTAATAAAATTGTACCTAAACCTTTCATAAGCACTATCGGGCCAAAAAAAAGGGGGGGGGGGGGGGGGGGGGGGGAGGCAAATTTTTGCCAAAACATTTTTCTAAAAATTTTTTCGGAAATCGTTGGAATTGTACTGGGTGAGTTGCTTAGAGGTTGGACACATCTGGTCGATTGCAGAAAATCGAGTTTCCAAGGTCCGAAATGACTTGAAAAGATTTTGTAAAAAAATGGAAACATTTGATAATCCATGGGAATTTTTTGGAAACATCCCAATTGTGCCCTAAACAGTCTCCGATGAGGTTTGTTGGTGTCCTGGTAGGTGAGGGAGGACGTTTCCAGTTAATAAGGGCCACCATGAAAACTCGGAGGCCGGAAATGGCCCTAAAAATGGCCTTTTTGGGGTGTCTTCGAAGTTGAGCCAATTAAGGGGGCAATGGGGTCTTTTTGAAATTTATCTCGAAATTGGTTTTATAGTTGTTTTTGATAGAGGGGGGTGATATCTATCTGCTGCTTTTGGTCGCATGGAAAAATATTGTTCCTAGCCAAAGTTATTGCCGGTCAAAGGTCAGCGCTCATGTGTAATTGTATTGTGCGAGCGATTTTCTACGATAAATAAGATGTGTCCTATTACTATGCAACTCACCCGGTACAATTTGGACCTGTTCCGACCAATTAAAGCCGAAAATCTGGCTTTAATCAGCTCAAATTTGAAATCACCCCGAAAGGCCTTTTTTAGGGCCATGTCCGGCCTCCAAATTTTCATGATGGCCCCTATTAACTGGAATTGTCTTCCCTGACCTACCAAGACACCAAAAAACCTAATCAGAGACCGTTTAGGGCAAAATTAGGATGTTTCCAAAAATTCCCATGGATTCTCAAATGTTTCCATTTTTTTTACAAAATCTTTTTAAATTATTTTTGAACTTGGAACCCCGGTTTTCTACGATAAATAAGATGTGTCCTATTACTATGCAACTCACCCGGTACAATTTGGACCTGTTCCGACCAATTAAAGCCGAAAATCTGGCTTTAATCGGCTCAAATTTGAAATCACCCCAAAAGGCCTTTTTTAGGGCCATGTCCGGCCTCCAAATTTTCTTGATGGCCCCTATTAACTGGAATTGTCTTCCCTGACCTACCAAGACACCAAAAAACCTAATCAGAGACCGTTTAGGGCAAAATTCGGATGTTTCCAAAAAATTCCCATGGATTCTCAAATGTTTCCATTTTTTTACAAAATCTTTTAAATTATTTTTGAACTTGGAACCCCGGTTTTCTACGATAAATAAGATGAGTCCTATTACTATGCAACTCACCCGGTACAATTCGACCTGTTCCGACCAATTAAAGCCGAAAAATCTGGCTTTAATTGGCTCAAATTGAGAAACACTACAAAAGGCCTTTTTTAGGGCCATGTCCGGCCTCCAAATTTTCTTGATGGCCCCTATTAACTGGAATTGTCTTCCCTGACCTACCAAGACACCAAAAAACCTAATCAGAGACCGTTTAGGGCAAAATTCGGATGTTTCCAAAAAATTCCCATGGATTCTCAAATGTTTCCATTTTTTTACAAAATCTTTTTAAATTATTTTTGAACTTGGAACCCCGGTTTTCTACGATAAATAAGATGTGTCCTATTACTATGCAACTCACCCGGTACAATTTGGACCTGTTCCGACCAATTAAAGCCGAAAATCTGGCTTTAATTGGCTCAAATTTGAAATCACCCCAAAAGGCCTTTTTTAGGGCCATGTCCGGCCTCCAAATTTTCTTGATGGCCCATATTAACTGGAATTGTCCTCCCTGACATACCAAGACACCAAAAAACCTAATCAGAGACCGTTCAGGGCAAAATTCGGGTGTTTCCAAAAAATTCCCATGGATTCTCAAATGTTTCCATTTTTTAAGAAAATCTTTTCAAATTATATTTGAACTTTGAACCTCTGTTTTCTACGATAAATAAGATGTGTCCTATCGCTTTGGAACTCACCCGGTACAATTTGGACCTTTCCGACTGTAATTAAAGCCGAAAATCTGGCTTTAATTGGCTCAAATTGGAAAACACCCCAAAAGGCTTATTTGGGCCATTTTTGGCCTCCGAGTATTTGTGATGGCCTCAATTAACTGGAAATGTCTTCCCTGACCTATCAGGACCCTAGACCTCATCAGAAACCTTTTTGGGCAAAATTAGGTTGTTTCCAAAAAATGTTTCCATTTAACAAAAGGCCATTTTCAGTCTCCGAATACCCTTTTTTTTGTTGCTCCAATTAACTTTAAATTGGAATTTGAAAATGGAGATAGTTATTTCTAATAGATCCTAAAAACTTGAATAACAAAGTTTGATATAACTCTAATAGCACACTGAGCTTGCTGGCAAATTTATGAAATTTTGATTTTATGGCAAAATTTGCTCCCCACCCCTTCTCGATTGGTTTAAACACTCTTGCAACATATATAAACTGACAAAGAACATAATAAACCAGTTTCCCGGTAATTTTGGGGAAATCAGACATCTAGAAAATGTTTCCATTTTGAGGAATCATTATATGAGGCTTACTGTATACGTCGGCCGCGAAAACAAAATATAGTTAAAAGTAATCACGGCTACGTCTGTGTGTGACAAAATGTGTGCGGCGCGCGCATCACGGCTGAAAAAAAAGTGTTATGACTATGTTTAATTGTTAAATTATGAATTTAATCTTTTATATAGTTATACTAATAATCTCAATAAAGATGTGTGTTCGAGCGGATGCAATAGCAAGAAAGAGAGGTGGAGAGTTGTTAGGGTGGTTAGGATCAGTAGGTGGAGCCTTCTGTTTTGTTGTATAGCATTTTAGTCACTCCGCAGTTTATTAACTGTGTCTCAACTCAGCAATTAAGCCGAGTTATAATAATTTAAAGATCTGGTGGATACTTGATCCCGACACTTAATCACTGATATCTTTACTCAATCAACCGTCTGATTGGTTCGAGACTGCTTATAGGGCAGCAACTGGAGAGTTATGTAACACGAACTTCTTTGATTTTAAGTAAAGCTCATTATCAGTATTCACTCAATTCAAAGTGATCAGATTGTCATCCAACATGATGCTCGGTACTATACCGCGTAATGAGGCTCATTATTGCACTTGAATAGCTCCCGATGAGATTACTGATTGGGTGACGAAATCACTGACAACTGATTAATATAAGCAATAAGTGCAGAGATCACGTATCTGAAAGATTTTAAAAAGGTCATAACTCGGTTAAATTGTAAACAACCAACTAGAAATTTTGGGACAGCACTTCAATTATCAAGCCAAATGTGTCTGTCCAACCAACTTCATTGTCCAACTCCAGGAAAACCAACCCCAGGATGAAGCCCGTCTTAATTTAGCAGCTGTATACACCCTTCGAAAGAACATTATTTGACATCAGGGTCACTCATCCTAATTGCGACTCAAATACTTTAAAGCCACTAGATATAAAAATCTACATCATACATTGTGCATGAGAAAGAGAAGAAAGATGTTTATGAAGAGAGAGTACTTCAAGTAAAATACAATGTTTAAGTAAAATACAATTTTTATTTTCCACAGAAGAATCAATACATATTGAATTATAAATATCCAATAATTCCATTAATAATCATTAAAAGTTGCTTGCTTTGTCATTTGTAAAATCAAAAACGAAAAGCCGTACGCTGAACTGTGAACGCGCGCGGCATTTTTTCTGCAGCTGCCTAGCTTCAATACAAGCTTGTAGCCGCTAACATCAAAGCCGCCGCGCGCGCCCAGTGCTGGGGTGCATTCTCATTAACAACTAAACTTGGTCAAAGATAGTTATATACAATTCCTAAATTAAATCAATAATCATGTTAATATGAGTATTCAACACTACTCGACAACAAATATTTGCCGGCCCATCAACGATTCAGTCGCCGAAACAAAAAACAAATGTTTGCTTTTTCGTTTCGGGGACTGTTTGAACTCCGATAATCATACGTTACTTTATAATGGTTAAAATACAAAGTAAAAAGATTTTCCTCGATGGGCCGGCATTCGCAACCGCGAAACGTTTAATTTTGAGTACGACAAACGATGACACCACCACCAGCCGTTAATTAATAAGTCCATGGGTGACGGGATAAAGTTAAAGTAAGATGTGTTATTTCATATTGCCTATCACCTATATGTTAATAGATCAACATCACATAAAAACTTTCAATACTTGGGGGCAAAATGTTGGAATAATGTTCCAACAGATCTACGAATGACGAAATCTGCCCGATGTTAAAAGCTTTAGTGATTCGTATAAGAAACAG